TTTACATTGAAACTAAGAAAATAAAAACCCTATAATCAAGTATTAGAATATACAGGAGATTAATAGAAATGCTCATTGTAAGACCAGGATGCATGCTTTTACACAATAGAATGCTTTATACATGTTATAATTTGTTAACAGAGAAACTAAAAATAAATGTATTAATAGTTGTATAAAACCTTTATGAAGAAAAAAAAACAAACTTTATTAAAAGCAACTGAAATAAATTGAGAGACATAACATGTTCATTGATGGAAGACTCAGTATAATTTCCTCAAATGGGTATATTACTTTAATGCAATCCTAATAAAATCCTGAAATGACTTTTCATGATACATGCCAAACTAATATATAAGTTCATATGAAAATAATGGTCCGTAAGTATCCCCAAAATTGAGTAATAATAATTACATGAGTATAATAATGATGATTATAGAAGACCCATCATTTCATTCATTATAAAGTTATATTAATTTAAAAAGTATGGCACTGGTTAAAATCAAATGTAATAGCAAGGCTATAAACAAATCCATATATGAATTAGATCTCATTATATGACAGCAGCTTAATTAATACTTCAATAAATTAAACGAGAATAATTGGCTATCCATAGTGCAGAGGTAAAGTTAAGTTTCTACTTCATAACAGATTCTGTCTGGATTAAATACACAAATTTGAAAAGTCATCTTTAAAATATTTGAGGAACATATTCCTGATATCAGAATAAGAAAGTTTCCTGCATAACACAAAACAAAACAAACAACCCCCTTAGTACTCAGTATTGACATATTTGAACATATTAATATTTTAAAATATAATAATTAGCAAGAAAATGAAAATAACAGGTTGAAAAATATTTTTAATACATATAATGAACAAGTGCATAATATTACAATTAAAAACTGTACAAAAAATACCTAAATGATAAACAAGTTAAGGAAAAATGGTTGAAGAATAAACTGGAATTATGAATATATATGCAAAAAATTGTTCAACTTCACTAGTAATCAAGGAAATGCAAAATAAGACAATAATGAAATTTTTGTACACATCAAAATGTCAAAATTTAAGTCTGTGGAGCAATTTCTACATAGCTAATAAAGTTGAAGTTACCCACACTATATAATAATTCAGAAATTCCACTTCTAGTTATCTATTTGAGAATGCGTGGCACACATATACAAAAAGTGTAAAATGTTCTTTGCCACAATGTAATGCTGAAAATTTGTAAATGACCTCACTAATCCTCAGTAATAGAATTGTAGCATAAACTGAGTTGATTCTACAACCAAATACTTCTTAGCAGTTAAAATGGATGCTATAGATCTCCATTTACTTTTATGAAAAATGTAATGCTAAGTGAAAAAAAAACATCATTTGTATAAAATGGAATAGCATGTAAAATAATTGAATCTTATGTCTGTTTGTGCCTATGCCCATATAAACCTACATCTATCTGTCTGCTTATAAATCTATCAACCTATCTATCCTATCTACTAAAAGAGAAACATGGTAATTGGCGTACAACCGCTACCCTTTCCATTGGCTAATCAGCGAGATATGCAAATTAACTGCCAGCCAAGATAGCAGCTGGCAGCCAGACAGCTTGAAACTAACATGAGGCTTGCTTGTTTCAGTGACGGAGGGCTCCAACGTCCCCGACCTGCCTTACTGGCCTCTGAGCTTGCAGTTTAAGAAACATTGTAACAAATATAGAAGCTAAAAAAAACCCCAGAAACCTGCTTTCAGCGAGCCCGGGATCTCAGAGCTGGAGTTATACATTGTTTTGATTATAGAACCTAAACAAACCAGATACCTTCTTTCAGCAGCAGAGGCCTCAGAGCTGGAGCCAGAGCTAAAGCTGGCCCAGAATGAAAAAAAAAGAAAAGAAAAAAAGGAGCAGTTGGGAGCTTCAGTCAGCCTGAAAACAGCCCTCAGCCCCTCATTGAGACTGGCCAGGCCCCCCAGTGGGGACCTCCACACTGATCCAGGACACCCTTCAGGGCAAACCAGCCAGCCCCACCCATGCACCAGGCCTCTATCCTATATAGTACAAGGATAATATGCCTCCCTGCACCGGGATCAGCGTGACAGGGGGCAGCGCCCAAACCCCCTGATGGCCCTGTGGCTCTGTGTGTGACAGGGTGCAGTGCCCTAACCCCTTGCTCAGCCCTGCTCTGTGTGTGACAGGGGGCGGTGCCCCAACCCCCCAATCAGCCCTACCCTGAGCGTGACTGAGGGTGGCATCGCAACCTCCTGATCTGCCCTGCTCTGTGCATGACAGGGGCGGCGCCGCAACTCCCCAATCGGCCCTGCTCTGACCAGGGGCTGCACCTAGGGATTGGGCCTACTTTCTGCCAGCCGGGAGCAGGCCTAAGCCAGCAGGTCGTTATCTCCCGAGGGGTCCCAGACTGCGAGAGGGTACAGGCCGGGCTGAGAGGCCCCCCCTTCCCCCCCAGTGCATAAATTTTTGTGCACCGGGCCTCTAGTTCTATATAACCAAAATTGGAAATGATTAACAACCTTAAAGAACTAAATCTATAAGGTTGTAGTTATTTGTCCATTGGGAAAAGGTATGATGAAGGATCTATAGTAAAAAAAAAAAAAATGTTAAAAGCAGATGTGGATCATCATCATATGTTATGTTATTTGTATTTGTTTATATATGATGAAGTTCTCATATTTAAAAAAAGGAGTCTTACAGTGAGATGCTTTATTTTTCAGATAAAAAATGTTGTTTATATAAAGACCTGGGTTTGAGTCCCAGTTTTGCTCCTATGTGCTTCATTCTGTAAATGAGGATAATAGAAGATATTTAACTTGGTGGTTTAGAAAATTATTGAGATTTAATGAAAATTAGTGTATGTGTGTGAAAGTGGCTATTATAAATTTTGAAGCACTCTATTAATATAAGGAACATTTGCAAGCAGTATATTGCACATTAGTATTAATTGTACATGCACATTTGTATATATTGTAAGGTTTTCTTATTGCTGAATTACCCCCCCAAAAAGAATATTTGATCTTAGAACAGACAAAAGTCTTCATCCATATCTAACTAAAGAATAAGGTGGAGAGATTTTTAAGAAACTATATGGTAATGATTCTTTTATCTAATGTTCACTTACCTGGACTATTTGGAACAGACTTAGAAAAGGGAATTAAACCCATATTAAAAACAAACATATGAGTCCAACTATATGACATTTTTGAAAAGGCAAAAATTTGGAGACATTTAAAAGATCAGTGGTTGCCAGGAACTCATGAGAGAGGGAGGAGGGGAAAGATGAATAGGCAAAGCACAGGAGATATTTTGGGCAATGAATCTATTCTGTATGATGTGTATGATTACTATTCTGTAATGTTGGATGCATGTCATTATGCATTTGTCAAAACCCATAGGAGTGTACAAAACGAAGTGTGATCTTCAGTAAAAACATATTAATATTGCCTAATAAATGCAATAAATGTATCACACTAATGGAAGATGTTAATAATTGGGGAAAGGGAAAGGATATTTAGAACTGTACTTTCTGTTAAGTTTTCTGTAGACCTGAAGCTCATCTAAAGAACTAAGCTATATAAATGTAAAGCAAACCAAGATGCACAGCATTCAAATAAAAACCACCATCCTCAGACTCTAAGCAGATTTCCTTTCTTATGCATGGGGCATTCAGGTATTCTCTCAGGACCTCTTTACTCTTGTCTTAGTTATAATTTTAACAGATTCAGTGTATGGATTTTCCATTTAACTTGTTAGTATGGTACGATCAAGGAAGAAGCAACTTGTTTTTCCTAACAATTTTCAGCTAGCAGTCGGACATGCCAGTGGAAGGCCTGTCAGAACTAGAGCATGTCTATTTTAAATTAGCTGCTTGGTTATTGCCTCTCACCCCACCCCAACACTACCATCTGGCTGCCCTAGAGCCTCCCCTAGAAACCCCCTGACGTACAGATTCCATTAAATACAGGATTAACACGTTAACACCTAAAACCTTCAGAGATCACTTTAGAACCGTGACTGGAGTCCCTCCTGATGGGTGTCTTTGCCTTATTTGTTATATAAAAATAATAATTATAATAATAATGTCAAGCATGAATAGAACTCAAAGAGGCAGGACAATTGGTGGAGATTTAGACTACAGGAGAGAGACCTACAAACACAGGTGGAAATGAGAAATCTAATATTTGAAAATATGTATACCTAAGGTGTTAATTATTTTAATGTGTGTAATGCTTTACAGTTTTCAAAGTGATAATGTAACAATGCATCATACAGGAACATTTGAATTATATTCCGCATGTTCTTTTTCTGATGTTAGAAAAGAACCTAAAATTCTTTGGAATGTTTTATCTTGATATATATTTTTCTTTCTTTATTTTATTGCTTAAAGTATTACAAAGAGTATTACACATGTGTTCATTTTTTCCCCCCGCCCTAGACAGTCCCCTAGCCTCCCCTATCCCCCAGTCTCTTATGTCCATTGGTTATGCTTATATGCATGCATACAAGTCCTTTGGTTGATCTCTTACCCCCCTACCTTCTGCCCCCCAACCCTCCCCAGCCTTCCCGCTGCAGTTTGACAATCTGTTTGAGGCAGCTCTGCCTCTGTATCTATTATTGTTCAAAAGTTTATAATGGTCTCTATTATCCATGAATGAGTGAGTTTTCCACATCTCCCCGAGGCCGTCTTCTATGTGCTCTCATGTTGAATTCCATTATATGTATCTCTAAATGTGAACGTTAGAATTGCCTATGTTCGGCTCTGTAGTTCTATGAGGCTAGCAATTGTATATTAGTCATCATTGCATAGCAGATACCTAAAATAAAGTTCATACAAAGTGTTGAATAAATATTTGTCAAAAAGGTGTAACTTCAGTTATCTTTAAAAACTTACTTATTCAGAATTATTTTGCTGATGATACTGGGTAAATAAATTTGAATGTTTTGAGAAAAGTCATAAAATATAGAGAACAATCATCTTTAATTTTTTTTTCAGAAAAAATAATTGTCAACATGCAAGTTCAGACAGTCACAACATTCAAAACAATTACTAATGTTGTTGGACATTTAAAGGGCTTGGCTTCTCCAGGTAAGTATGGTAAAGTATTTGTAATCTACATTTTACACAAAACATCACAAAGAATTGCTCTATAATAATTTAATAGCAGAGTTAAATATGCTGTCTTATGTGTAACCAGAAGTTTATACCACTCTAAGAGGGGGCAATATGAAACCATGAAGCGGATCTTTATTTTCTTTCTTACAATATCTCTCCAAAAGTAAATCATAGTAGTGAAGAAATCAAAACAAAATTAAACTGGCATGCGCCTGGTGAAGATAAGCTGTACAAGCCAATGTCTTCTCTCTCTTTGTTTTTCTTTTATTCGCTGTAACAGTGTCAGAGGTATTTTTATTTAAAAAAAATACTTTTTTAAAAATTATAATGTTTACGTTTTAATGACATGTGGGGCTTTTTTGTTCGTTTGCTTTTTCTTAAAATCTTATCAATGTATCTATGTCCTGTCTCTGACCCGTGGTCCACTGACAATTCTGCCAAAGGTTTGCATGGCTTTAGGATTCGAAGATGCTTATGAAAATGATCACCTGGTTACATTTTAAATAATTTAACCTTTGTTACAGGATGCTGACTGAATCTTGGGCTAATGTTATAAAGGCCAAAAAAATAAAAATAACTGACACATATATTAAGAGATTAATAGCAATACTTTCAAATACATTGTGAGGTTGGATCACATATTACTGTCTGGTGCGCTTGGTATACAGTGTAGAATGCAACAAACTTTTGAGTACACTTGTGCCACTTCTATTAGTTTGTTTGGGACATTTACTCTAGTTCTCCTTGGACAAGTATTCTCTATGACTTTAGTCAAATTGACCCTACAGTTGCTAACCCAGAGATTTCTGAGATGAAGTTTTATATCCCCTTAGTTTCTTGCCAGCCAACTCTTACAAAATTAATGGGAGGTATATATTTCCTCCAATTTACTTATGCTAGACATGTTGAACAATTTCTGCTCAATAACGGAAGATATACACACATTTCAAAATTCTTACCACTGAATTTTAACAAATTCCCATAATAAGGATATCTAATTGAAGCACTAGAAATACAAGGGCTGGAAAAAGATGGTTTATAGTTGTGACTATGCAAAACAGAGAGTTAATAAAGCTATTGTAATAATCATAACCTGCATGTTTTTTTTTTTCCATACAAACATCTGTAGACCTATTTTTGCCCACCTCTGTATTTATCAACATCGCTGCATTTACAAGTTATTGAAAAATGAAATTGTACAATGTTCTATTAGCTTTAGGGTAAAAACTTTCCTTATAAAGATTCAATATAGAAAAATTATTTAATCAATTTACCAGTAGTATACTTCCATGCATATCAGCAAAGCTTCTAATATCTTCTTTAAATCCTAAACAAAGACATCACATAATTTTAATGACTCTGAACATTAGAAACGATCATCAAACATTATTAAGATTTTTAGATTCTTGTTTACAATATACAATTCAAACAGAACTTTCACACATATCTGGGAAATGAGTGAATAAATTCCCAGGGTTCCAACATTTGCAGACACACTATGTATACTATTAATTAAATGTTGATGACATGTTGGCAGATCAAAGACATTGCTGGCTCCAATATCAGTGTGGAAATCTAAAATAGCTTCACACAGTGACGTTTCCCATGAGGTAGCCTTTTTATACCATGAGTCAACTGATGATTAATTTATTCCACACATATGTAGTACTTACTATGTATCAGGCACTGTTCAAAGGGCTTTACAAATAACAGTTCGCTTAAACTTAAAAACAACTGAATTATGTATGTCCTATTTTTATCCCCATTTTATGGTTGAAGAAATTAATACATAGAATGATTAAATAAACTTCCCACAGTCACACAACTAGTAAGTTGAATAGCCTCTCTTCAAACCCATGCAGGCAGGCCTCAGAGTCTGCACACTTAAGCATCAAGATATGAGACATTCTCCTAGCGCGATGATACTCAATGAAGAAACCATTTTACACAAATGTGTAGGCCACTAAGCAAATACATTTAGCTCTGTACCAATAATAGTCACTGACAAGAAAATCAGGGAAAACTCTGGAAGCATGTCTTTAGCCTACTTATTGATGACAATAATCAGTAATGTACATTGAGTAGGCATTCCATGTGTCATTGAGACCTTGCTAAGAGCATACCTAATAGATTTTGTATGATTATATAAAATAAAATATGTGAAAAGGAAACTTTTGCAGTAATTGGATGCCTTTTGCTGTTGTCGATTTTTTATTCTTCAGAGAAAGAAGTGAGGTTAAAACTATAATTAATTCCCTAAATACTTATTGCAAAAATCCATATATAACCACCACATTTTTAATATTTAAAGCTACTAAATAACTGTTCCCTCAATGTATTAAAAGTTCATTAATATTTACTGAGCATACAGACATTGTTTACAGGGCACTTCCCACTATGATTCTGGGATAATGTTAGATAAAGGTTTCATTGTGGCATATTTGCATACCTCACTAATTAATATGCATGTCACAGAGGACAGTAATATGAATCTAAGCTTTGGGTTCATAATTGGGTACAGCAGCTGCCTCTGCTTTGATATACACAGATGTGTGAATCAAGACAGGGGTGAAAAAATGTAAAGTAGTCTTAATTATTAGAACAATTTTGCATAATTGTTGCTCAGTTGTGCAAAAGGATTATGTAAATGTCATTAAGTTTATTGTTAGGATTTATATTTTGTTTTAATGGCTCTTGTTTCTTTCTATTTCCAGACAAATATATCATAGTTGGCAGCCACCATCATACTACATCCAGTTACAGGGGGCAAGAATGGGCCAGCAGCACTGCCATAATCACAGCTTTCATCCAGGCCTTGATGTTAAGAGTGAAGAGAGGGTGGAGACCAGACCGCAGTATTGTTTTCTGCTCCTGGGGAGGAACAGAGTTTGGCAATATTGGCTCATATGAATGGGGAGAGGTAAATGTACATCCATTAGTATTTTCTCTTCTCTCTCTTTCTCTCTCTCTCTCTCTCTCTCTCTCTCTCTCTCGTAGACAAAGTAAAATTGTCAAAGCCAAGGACAAGAATGTGCATTTCAACCAGGATGTCATGTCATATCTGCTAGGTTGCTGAAATCACTCAGAAGAATGAAGGGGGATTAGAGTTGGACCACAGTGAATTGTGTATGATCTGCCACTATTCATATTGCTACCAGATCTACAGACTCTAATATGCCCACAATAGTGTTTACCTGGTTATTGCATATCTCAGTAGACAGGTTGACAGGAACAGGGTAAGAAAGGATTAAATGATGCATACCATTAACCTTTCTTTTAAAACTTTCTGCCATTATCTAGAATAAGGGAACTTTCTCCTATGTTAAATGTGTATAACCTTAGTATTATAATTTAGAGATGCAACATGGAGACTAGACTCAAAATAGTATGTGTGTGTGTGTTTTTTTTTCTTCCTTCCTCTTCTCCTCCCTTCCTCTACTCTTTCTTCTGTCTATTCTTCTAAACCTATCTCTCTGCTTCTTTCCTACCTACAGAAATACTTACCTACCTACCTTAAGAAGCCTTTGTCCAAATGAATGGGTCATGGTTAGAAAACAACTGGAATATTTAGTATCAAATGCTTCTATGTCTGTGCCTCACAGATGCACTGTTTTTAATGGGATATGACAGCTGATACTGGGATTGATGCCCGTCTTGCTCAGTCCCAATTGGCCAGACCACAGCAGCAAGCTAACTTACCAGTCAGAGTGTCTGCCCCCGGTTGTCAGTGCACATCATAGCGAGCAGTTGAGCAGCCTTAGCATATCATTAGCATATTATGCTTTGATTGGTTGAACGGCCGACTGGCCGACTGGACACTTAGCCTATTAGGCTTTTATTATATAGGATGAGAGTCCATAGGAAAAAATGTTTAAGTTAGAAAAGGCTCTTCTTCAAAATACACTAATTATGCACTTAGTCACTTTCTGTTTTTTGTTGTGTGTGTTTTTTTGTGTGTTTTTTTCATGACGTTTTGGACAAAGATTTTGAGTAAAGAAAATGTCAAATAAAAGATATAGATTTGATTATTAGCTTTAAAAATATCCTCTTGCAAATAACTATGTCTTAGAAAATTACTTCAGTACAGTTTATGAAGCCATTTACTAATTATGCACTTAGTCACTTTCTGTTTTTTGTTGTGTGTGTTTTTTTGTGTGTTTTTTTCATGACGTTTTGGACAAAGATTTTGAGTAAAGAAAATGTCAAATAAAAGATATAGATTTGATTATTAGCTTTAAAAATATCCTCTTGCAAATAACTATGTCTTAGAAAATTACTTCAGTACAGTTTATGAAGCCATTTTGCAACTATCTAGTTGAGAAGGAATTTAGAAACTATTAGTTTTCCTGTTCAAAATTTACTCTTATGAAAAATGAAACATTTTCTTTTAAACTGCATCCAATTTATGCTCTAAATACACCCCTTAGGGAAGATGAGTGAGGAAAAAATGTGTTGACACGTCCTATTGTTCTATTTAATTTTGTTTGCACAGGAACCTCTTGAAGTCCACACATGTAATTAAAATGATTAGGCGGTTTTGGTCAATAGAGGATTGACTCAGCACTGATCTTGATCCTTGGGAAGGCTGATAACATTTTACTAGATATGTTCTTCAAGAACTACCATTTATTCTGTGAAGAATCTTTATTATTTACAGGATATCATGGAAATACTACAAATTTTACAGTCAAAAAATTCCAAGTTCAAGTCTTCTCTGCCACAAAACATGTGGACTTTTACAAGACTACCCTACCCAAGACTTGATTTATCAAATGAGTATACAGATGCCTATATCATGAGTGTCTCCTGAGAATTAAATGGACTAACATATACACAGTGTCTATTGGCTAGTGTGCAAACAGCTGTTTTTCTGTAGTACTTTGTAACACTGGACTTTTAAAAATTGTTATGTATAAAGCTGAATACCTGAGTCAAAATTTACCATTTATTTTTCTTTAAAATACTTATTTAATTTAAATTAATTGTCTTCTCACCTCTCTTACAGAGGTATAGCTGAATTTTCAACATAAAATAGGAGGAACACCGATTCCATAAGGATTTCAAGTCCTTGCAGTCTTTTATCTGATAGTGTTAGAAGAAGAAATATATGTTCCTGACATGAAGTAATACAATTTTTAGGATGTTTTTTAGTATGTTTCTATATAACTGCCACCATGGTAATTATCCATTAAATATTTGTTCAAGAAGATGAGAAAAGTATCAGAGGGACTTTTTACCTATCTAGTAAAAGAGAATCATTGGTCATCAAATTTTGGAATTTAGCAGAGAAATGAGAAAGCTATTCTATTTGAACCATTTTATGCTACTAATCTGCGTGAAATATATCAGGTTTTATTTCAGTTAATATGTGCAGGGATACAATTGTATTATGTTCCATTTTGCTCAAAATAAAGAACCAGTTTGTACAAAAAGTAACTCATTGCTTCACAGAAAGGGTTGGTTTATTAATCACTGAAGTAGTTTTCCCTTGTCTACTCTCTAATTCAAACACTATAAAATTAAGTGCCCTCACTTGACCAAAAATGTCATCCTGTATTTTGGAGGTGAATCTCATACTGTGTTAACCATTTAAAAACATGTTATCTTAAAATTTGCCTCCAGAACATATTTGAAATATTTTATCAAAATGTTATGTTTAATCCATCGCATTTATTCAAAATCATTTTATGACTTTGTGTACTCTTACTAAATAGTATGAAATTGCCGACAACGTACTGGTACAATGTAATACTTTTAAGTAGAAAGTGTTTAGTATTTAATAAGTAACTGATTAAAAATCTGTTATTGTTATTTATGTTAGAGACAATTTTTTTTTCATTTCAGGATTTCAGGAAGGTTCTGCAGAAAAATGTTGTGGCTTATGTTAGTCTCCATAGTCCCATAAGGGGTAACTCAAGTCTATATTCTGTAGCTTCACCATCTCTTCAGCAACTGGTAGCAGAGGTAAGATGAACCGCTTGTTATAAAGTGATTAGACAAAATTGCTGTTTTCTCTATAATTTGAGATGTCTTGATATTTTTTTAATTTAAATTTTTCATTGTTGACACTATTGCAGATGTCTCCTATTCTCCCCCTTGTACCTGCCTCCACCCAGCCTTGGCCCCTCCCTTATTCTTGTGCATTGGTAAAATAGGTGTACTAATTTTTCTTGGATATTTATCTAGTTGTGGAATTGCTAGATCATAGGGTAGGCACATGTTTAACTTTTATAGATACTGTCAAAGATTCTCCAAATTGCTTGTACCAACTGCACTATCACCATCAATGTATATTTCCTGTCATCACCGACATTTAGTATGACTATTCTTATATGTTTATGGTGGTATCATTTGGGTGTTTGATTTTAATATCTCTGTTGATTAATAATATGAAGTACCTGCTTTCGTATTCATGTACTCATTGGCCATTTGGGTATCTTCTTCTGTGAAGGCTTATTTAAACCTTTTGCCTGTTCTTAAAAGAGAGTTGTTCATATTTTTTTTATCTGTATGTCAGAGTTCTTTATATACTCTCTATACAAGACTTGTGTTGGTTAAATATTGTGAGTTACTCTCCCAGTCTGTGGCTTGACTTTTCACTCTCTCACTGGTAGCAACACAATCTTTAATTATTAATCTTTTCTTGTGGAAGTCTTCTAATCAGCATTTTTGGTTCTAGTATCTTATTACAAAGAACATGTTGTACTTAATTTATTTAGTATTTATGTTGAAGGAACATTATAAACCTTTGTTATTCATTCTAATTCATGCATGTTTGAGTGGTTATTGTGTATATGCTTTGCATTCTATTGGGTACTATAGGATGTTCTATAAACATGAATGGTGTGCGCAGGTTGCTTAAATGGGTAGTGAATAAAGATTCTTTGTAATTGGAAAAAAGCTCTTTCCTAAAAAATAATTTTCCTTTGCTTCTTAACTGTAGAATAAAGGACAGACTTATCGGTGCTCTCTTAGTTAATAAAATGCAACTGCCTTTGAGCAAAACAAGTTATGAAATGAAAGATAAAATAAGATTTATCCCCCAAAATAATTTTAAACATTAGGATGCAATACAAACACATACATCTCTCTCTATATATTGCCATTCCACCTTTATTTTTTGAAATCATCTTTCATACATCACAGAATGTATTGATTTTGCCCTTGGAGAAACAGAATTTGATCATCCATATATTAGTCAGTGCTCTGTACATCTCAAATAAATAGTGATGAAATTTCTAAGAGGTTATTTTAGGGAAGCCTGAAGCATCTGTCCCTATGAAAGTAGTCAATCTAACTATAGTCTACTTAAGTGTTGCTTTTGCATCACCTGCCAGAAACTGGCAAACCTGATCAAAACTGAACAATTGCATCAATATTGTAAAACTGTCTGCAGGATAAACAGTGTTGTTTTCTTTTTAAACTCTAAAAAGTTAGCAAAGATATATTTGTTTCATACGGTGTTTAAAAAAAACAAACACGTTTTATTTTTCCATATACCAGGAACTCGTCACCAGAAAATATAGTACATATATCTCATTTCTACTACATGAGTTAGAGTATTGAGCTCATAATCCTACTACAGTATCCTTTCGTTGTGAATACCCCAACTGTTGCAGAGCTCTATTGTATAATAAATTTTTATAGGCAATCCAACTCTGTATAAAATTATTTTAAGTATGTAAGCACACAATAAGCATGTGAAATGCCTTGGGACTTATATTTTACCATGAACATAAGACATGTATAAAGAGCTCAAATATAGGGGCAAGCATGATAGGTGCCATACAGGAATTTATAGGAAAGAGACAGTGTGATTGGTTTAATTTAGAATTCTTCATTGTAGAACATTGACAAAAAGCTTGAATGTAATGATGATCTTGAAGAAATTTAATTACCAGTCTTTTCAAAACAGAATTCTTCAGTCATGTAAACCAGCTCCTCTTATTTATAGTGATCTACCAAACCATCTTTTCAAATCACATAAACTGACCTCCATTTTCTTATTCAAATCAAGGATACCAATGTATGCTTCTGATCCCTTCCAAACTCACACAGCTATATCTGCCACAGTACTTGTACAACTGCTACTGACTGCCTGCTATAGTGCTGGTTTTTATTCTGCAGGACCATGCCTTTATTGTATAGGAGATATACAGAAAACATGTGAGATATTTTAGCCCTAGAAGCTCATTAGTTTAAATTCTCGAGTTACCAGAAGCCTGAATTTCAAATAACAGAGTTATTAATTAACATGTTAACAGTTTTTCTTGCTCTTATATTTATACACTATGGAATTTTTTTTTTAAAAAAGGATATTGCTAGTCATCTAAGACATCCATAACAAAATACCACTGACTGAGTGACTTAAAGAACAAAACTTGATTTTCTCACAATTCTGGAAGCTAGAAGTTGAAGATAAGATGCAGGTGGCATAGATTTCTCTGGAGGCCTGACTGGCAGATGGCCACCTTCTCATTGTGTCCTCACATGGCCTTTTTCTCTGTGCACACTCATTCCTGGTATCTCCTCCTCTTGTAAGAAAATCAGTTGTTTTAAGTTAGGGCCCTAACCTAATCTCATTTAAATATAGTTTACTTTATTTTAAAATATATTTTGTATTGATTTTATAGAGAGGAAGGGAGAGGAACAGAGAGAAATACACATAATCAAAATCAATGTTAATTTCTTAAAATAGCTTTGTCTAATTTAGTTATTGTCTCTGACATTTTAAAAAAAATAATTTTATTGATTTCAGAGAGGACGTTGAGAGGGAGAGAGAGATAGAAACATCAACGATGAGAAAGAATCATCGGAACTGTGACCTCCTGGTCATAGGTCACTGAGCACACAATTGGTCTTGTCTGTGGCATTTTGACTAGTATATCAGACACCATTCCTCTATAGAATTCAAAAAATGGCCATTTACTCAGGACTAGTATTAGTAAATCATCATCGATGGCAGGTTAGATAAAATTGTTGCACATACACAGCATTGTTAATGTAGTATAATATATTTTGCCATTAAAAAAATTAAACCTAGCTGGTTTAGCTCAGTGGATAAAGTATTGGCCTGTGAATCAAAAGGTCCTGCGTTTGATTCCGATCAAGGACAGGTACCTCAATTGCAAGCTCCTCTCCAGCCCAGGCCCTAGTCAAGGCATGTGCAGAAGGCAAGCAATGGATATGTTTCTCTCACATCAATATTTCTCTCTGTCTTTCTCTCTCTCCCCCACTATCTCTAAAATCAATGGAAAAATATCCTCAGGTGAGGATTATGAAACAAACAAAAAATAACAACAACAACAAAACAGTTAAATCTACTCTCATGAGTTGTCATTTTTTTATCCTACCTGATTTTTAATATGTTTTGGTTAAAAAACCTACCACTAATGTAATTAGTTAATCATCTACATAGAAACTACAATAGTAAAATTTTGCCCTTATGACATATGACATTTTTTGTAGAACTTTTATGAGTAATGAAATTAGGTTAAATAGATATGATTTTATGCTTAACAAAAAGGAATCGCTGATTTCAAGTTACTTGTGGTATTCAAGTTAATGGGGTAATTGTGATATTTATTTCTATGTGCTTAATTTATAAATTATGGCTTCTTTGTTTATTTTAAAGTGGTATCTAATCAAACCATTTTGTGTTTGTGTTCATATTTTGGATTTGAATAGTTTACTTGGTTCTCTAACAAAATAATTTATGTTTATACCTTAATGTATTATCAGAAAGATAAATTTAAAAAGCAATGCCATTTTCAAAAGCATAAAAAACAATAAAATACTTAAGAATACATTTAACCAAAAAGGTGAAAGGCCTGTACACATAAAAGTATAAAACATTGGTTTAAGAAATGGAAGTAGACACAAATAAATTAAGAGATATTCTGTGTTCTTTTATTGGAAGAACTAGAGGCATGGTGCATAAAAATTTGTGCACTCGAGGGGGGTTCCCTTAGCCCGGCCTGTGACTTCTTGCAGTCTGGGACCCCCTCAGGGGATGTCCACCTGCCAGCTTAGGCCCACTCCTGGGGGGAATCAGGCCTAAGCTGGCAGTCAGATACCCCTCTGGCAGCCTAGAGCCCTTGGGAGATGTCCACTTGCCAGTAGGGAGCAGGCCTAAGCTGCAGTTGGACATCCTTAGCTCTGCTGAGGTGGAGGGGGAGGTTCCCGCCATCACTGCTGTGCTGGCAGCCATCAGCCTGGCCTGTGACTGAGCAGAGCTCCCCCTGTGGGAGCACACTGACCACCAGGTGGCAGCTCCTGCATTGAGTGTCTGTGGTGGTCAGTGTGTGTCATAGTGCAC